GTTCGGGGAATCCTGCAATCCACGGTGCTCGGGGAACCCTGCAATCCACGGTGCTCGGGGAACCCTGCAATCCATGGTGCTCGGGGGGATCCTGCAATCCACGGTGCTCGGGGGGATCCTGCAATCCATGGTGCTCGGGGGAATCCTGCAATCCATGGTGCTCGGGGGATCCTGCAATCCATGGTGTTCGGGGAATCCTGCAATCCACGGTGCTCGGGGAACCCTGCAATCCACGGTGCTCGGGGAACCCTGCAATCCATGGTGCTCGGGGGGATCCTGCAATCCATGGTGCTCGGGGGGATCCTGCAATCCATGGTGCTCGGGGATCCTGCAATCCATGGTGCTCGGGGGGATCCTGCAATCCATGGTGCTCGGGGGATCCTGTGTCATTCTTGAACCCTAAGCCTTCCTAAATGCCTATTTTAAATGCTCAGATTTCATATAACAATCATTTTTTCCATCGATGTGAAGAAGAAAATCTCTCATTTCCCTCCATATCATTCAAGTGATCCGGGAAGAAGAAAGGATTTCCATAGAATGGGCCCCTGGAATGGCGCAGAATGTGTCCCCCGCCGACATTTCCATGCCGTATGATAATTACAGCGACGTTCATACAATGGGGGCCCATTGAGGGAACAAAGAGTGTTGTGCGGAGGACGCACATTGCGGATTCGGATCCATCGCTGAGTGGGCCGGACAACACATTCTTCACTGTTTATGTGACTCCTGAGAGAAGTATGATGAGGGGGGAGGAGCATGTATGGGGGGCTCATTACCATACAGAAGATGTCATCCCAATACTAGAACCCGGCCGGCCTTGTATGAGGTCATCCATCTACCAGAGAAACATGAAGGCCTGCCAATACATGGCCTACCCAAGAGTCAGAGCGTGGCGGGGGTCCCAGTCCTCCAAGAGTCAGAGCGTGACGGGGGTCCCAGTCCTCCGAGAGTCAGAGCGTGACGGGGGTCCCAGTCCTCCGAGAGTCAGAGCGTGACGGGGGTCCCAGTCCTCCAAGAGTCAGAGCGTGACAGGGGTCCCAGTCCTCCGAGAGTCAGAGCGTGACGGGGGTCCCAGTCCTCCGAGAGTCAGAGCGTGACGGGGGTTCCAGTCCTCCGAGAGTCAGAGCGTGACAGGGGTCCCAGTCCTCCAAGAGTCAGAGCGTGACGGGGGTCCCAGTCCTCCAAGAGTCAGAGCGTGACGGGGGTCCCAGTCCTCCGAGAATCAGAGCGTGGCGGGGGTCCCAGTCCTCCGAGAGTCAGAGCGTTACGGGGGTTCCAGTCCTTCAAGAGTCAGAGCGTGACGGGGTCCCAGTCCTCCAAGAGTCAGAGCGTGACGGGGTCCCAGTCCTCCGAGAGAGCGTGACGGGGGTCCCAGGCCTCCAAGAGTCAGAGCGTGACGGGGGTCCCAGTCCTCCGAGAGTCAGAGCGTGACGGGGTCCCAGTCCTCCAAGAGTCAGAGCGTGACGGGGTCCCAGTCCTCCAAGAGTCAGAGCGTGACGGGGGTCCCAGGCCTCCAAGAGTCAGAGCGTTACGGGGGTTCCAGTCCTTCAAGAGTCAGAGCGTGACAGGGGTCCCAGTCCTCCAAGAGTCAGAGCGTGACGGGGTCCCAGTCCTCCAAGAGTCAGAGCCTGACGGGGGTCCCAGTCCTCCAAGAGTCGGAGCCTGACGGGGGTCCCAGTCCTCCAAGAGTCGGAGCGTGACGGGGGTCCCAGTCCTCCAAGAGTCGGAGCGTGACGGGGGTCCCAGTCCTCCAAGAGTCAGAGCCTGACGGGGGTCCCAGTCCTCCAAGAGTCGGAGCCTGACGGGGGTCCCAGTCCTCCAAGAGTCAGAGCGTGACGGGGGTCCCAGTCCTCCCAGAGTAAGAGCGTGACGGGGGTCCCAGTCCTCCAAGAGTCAGAGCGTGGCGGGGTCCCAGTCCTCCAAGAGTCAGAGCGTCCCGGGGGTCCCAGTCCTCCAAGAGTCAGAGCCTGACGGGGGTTCCAGTCCTCCAAGAGTCAGAGCCTGACGGGGGTTCCAGTCCTCCAAGAGTCAGAGCGTGACGGGGGTCCCAGTCCTCCAAGAGTCGGAGCGTGACGGGGGTCCCAGTCCTCCAAGAGTCAGAGCCTGACGGGGGTCCCAGTCCTCCAAGAGTCAGAGCGTGACGGGGGTCCCAGTCCTCCCAGAGTAAGAGCGTGACGGGGGTCCCAGTCCTCCAAGAGTCAGAGCGTGGCGGGGGTCCCAGTCCTCCAAGAGTCAGAGCGTCACGGGGGTCCCAGTCCTCCAAGAGTCAGAGCCTGACGGGGGTTCCAGTCCTCCAAGAGTCAGAGCCTGACGGGGGTTCCAGTCCTCCAAGAGTCAGAGCGTGACGGGGGTCCCAGTCCTCCAAGAGTCGGAGCGTGACGGGGATTCCAGTCCTCCAAGAGTCGGAGCGTGACGGGGGTCCCAGTCCTCCAAGAGTCAGAGCCTGACGGGGGTCCCAGTCCTCCAAGAGTCAGAGCGTGACGGGGGTCCCAGTCCTCCAAGAGTCGGAGCGTGACGGGGTTCCCAGTCCTCCAAGAGTCGGAGCGTGACGGGGGTCCCAGTCCTCCAAGAGTCGGAGCATAACGGGGGTCCCAGTCCTCCAAGAGTCGGAGCCTGACGGGGGTCCCAGTCCTCCAAGAGTCAGAGCGTGACGGGGGTCCCAGTCCTCCAAGAGTCAGAGCGTGACGGGGGTCCCAGTCCTCCAAGAGTCAGAGCGTGACGGGGGTCCCAGTCCTCCAAGAGTCAGAGCGTGACGGGGGTCCCAGTCCTCCAAGAGTCAGAGCGTGACGGGGGTCCCAGTCCTCCAAGAGTCAGAGCGTGACGGGGGTCCCAGTCCTCCAAGAGTCAGAGCGTGACGGGTTCCATTGAGGCAGATGATAATATTGGGACCCCTGTGAGGCCCCCCCCCCACAGCTCATCCATTGAGGCAGATGATAATATTGGGGTCCCTGTGAGGCCCCCCCCCACAGCTCATCCATTGAGGCAGATGATAATATTGGGGTCCCTGTGAGGCCCCCCCCCACAGCTCATCCATTGAGGCAGATGATAATATTGGGACCCCTGTGAGCCCCCCCCACAGCTCATCCATTGAGGCAGATGATAATATTGGGGTCCCTGTGAGCCCCCCCCCACAGCTCAGCCATTGAGGCAGATGATAATATTGGGGCCCCTGTGAGCCCCCCCCCACAGCTCAGCCATTGAGGCAGATGATAATATTGGGGCCCCTGTGAGCCCCCCCCCCCCCCCCCACAGCTCAGCTATTGAGGCAGATGATAATATTGGGGCCCCTGTGAGCACCCCCACAGCTCAGTCATTGAGGCAGATGATAATATTGGGGACCCTGTGAGCCCCCCCCCAGCTCAGCCATTGAGGCAGATGATAATATTGGGGCCCCTGTGAGCCCCCCCATAGCTCAGACATTGAGGCAGATGATAATATTGGGGCCCCTGTGAGCCCCCCCCATAGCTCAGCCATTGAGGCAGATGTTAATATTGGGGCCCCTGTGAGCCCCCCCCATAGCTCAGCCATTGAGGCAGATGATAATATTGGGGCCCCTGTGAGCCCCCCCCCCCCACAGCTCAGCCATTGAGGCAGATGATAATATTGGGGCCCCTGTGAGCCCCCCCATAGCTCAGCCATTGAGGCAGATGATAATACTGGGGCCCCTGTGAGCCCCCCCCCAGCTCAGACATTGAGGCAGATGTTAATATTGGGGCCCCTGTGAGCCCCCCCCCATAGCTCAGCCATTGAGGCAGATGATAATATTGGGGGGACCCCCCCCCCCCCCTTTCTCTGGGGAATCTTCTCCAAATATTTGTGTTCAGCAGATTCGATGACTGTGATTGGCTGATCTATAGGAAGGCTGGTAAAGATCGCCACCTTGTGGTGGGATACATGTATTGCTCTGTCCCATTCTGCGATCCCTGCACTGTGCGTGTCACACATGGGATGGATGGAGGGAGGGATGGATGGAGGGATGCAGGGAGGGATGGATGGAAGGAGGGAGGGATGAATGGATGGATGGAGGGAGGGATTGAGGGAGGGATGGATGGAGGGAGGGATGGATAGAGGGATGGATGCTCAGTCCCTTCGTACACACGTGCGAGGAGTGGAAACTGACTGACCCCCCATCAGTGTCATCAGTACTTCATTCACCCTATATTCTATAACCCCCATACTACATACCCAACGTAGTCCATATATCCTATACTCCATACCCCCCCACCCCGTACTCCATACATTCCGTACCCCCCACCCCATACTCCATACCCCCCCCCCCCCATACTCCATACATCCCCCACCCCATACTCCATACATCCCATACTCCATACCCCCCCTGTACTCCACCCATACTGCATACCCCCCCATACCCCATCCCCCCGTACTCCGTACATCCCGTACTCCATACCCCCCACCCCGTACTCCATACATTCCGTACCCCCCACCCCATACTCCATACCCCCCCCATACTCCATACCCCCCCTGTACTCCACCCATACTGCATACCCCCCCCATACCCCATCCCCCCGTACTCCGTACATCCCGTACTCCATACCCCCCCACCCCGTACTCCATACCCCCCTACTCCATTCCACCCCGTACTCCATACATCCCATACTCTATACCCCCCCACCCCGTACTCCATACCCCCCTACTTCATTCCACCCCGTACTCCATACATCCCATACTCTATACCCCCCCCACCTCGTACTCCATACATCCCGTACTCCATACCCCACCCCGTACTCCATACCCCCCCACCCCGTACTCCATACCCCCCGTACTCCATACATCCCGTACTCCATGCCCCTCCCACCCCGTACTCCATACCTCCATGCTGTGAGATGTGTAATACTTTATTCTGCAGTGTCCCCCCCCTTTCATATTCGGGGGGGTCTCATTAGAAGATCAATAACACCCAGGAAGGCGGCTCAGTATCCAGCGAGTGTTTATTGAGTTTGAAAACAAAGTTGTGTGTTTAGTTGTGTTCTGCAGACAGTTCAGATGTTCAGTAGAAGCGGCTGCTCCTCGTCATCCAGATCTCCACTTGGTGGAATGTCGTAGATAACAAATAAAGAGGAGTAGAAGCAGCCCACAAACGCCATGAGGCTGGAGAAGTACATGACTCCATTGGCACTGCCGACGATTGACGTCAGAGGTCCCATGACGATGGAGACCAGGATCTGGGCGAGGAAATACTGGCAGCTGAGGAGAGAGATGTCCACCCCCATCCCACGCTTGGTGCCTTCAGAGCTGGAGCCTACAAACTGGAGAAAGACATTGATTGAGTATACAATACGTATAGAAAACACCCCTGAGATGTTCTCGTAATGTCGTGTGTTGGGTGTTGGCTGCAATCAGCAATGACCAGACATGGAAGGTCAGCTTGGACATCTCGTCTCCAAGGAAACTTGCTGGACACAAACATAGGAGCCGCCATTTATAATCCCGGATAAATGAAAATAAGCCTTGTAGCGGGGCTCCCCCAACACTGCGAGGGTTAAATGCCTATTTTTGCCTAAATTACCAGCAAAAAGCACTTCTACTCAGCTTACTTCCGACACCCCTGACAACCAACGCTCTCCTCGTCCCTCTGAGAAATGTTGTGTGAAGGTCATCCAGAGCCCAGGGCCAATATGCCAAGCTGGCCGGCCTTGTAACAGAAGGGAGGCTCCCCCATTCCTACTGTAAGCCATTGCACCCAGGGCAGCTGCCCCCCCCCCCCGCCCACCACTTGTCCTGGCTCTGAGTAGTGGATGGACTCTCAGTATCCTCACTCACAATGCATAGACAGCTGGTCCAGCATTGTAGATGATGACATCAGAGCTGTGACCCTTGCAACCGAATGGGAAACCAGTTGCAGGAAGAACAGGAACCTATGGGAGTGGGGGAAGGTAAGTAAAAGTGCTTGATGCTGCTACCAAAAAAATAAGTAATTAACCCTTGCAGTGTGGGAGGAGCCTAAATACACGGGACGAATTTTTCATTCAGTTTTGACTCACCAAGCAGTAAAGAAAGGAGGAAAATGGCAGCCATGATACTCAGCTTTCCAGGAATACCTGGGGCAGGCATGTGTATGTCGGGTTTTGTTCTTGGATGGATACGGAGGAACGCCGGGTACAAACGTTCTTCTCACTTGAACAACTTTTTGAAGCATTTATTGATTAAGTTCAATGGATACAACCAACGAGTTTTATGGAAAGGCCCCTCCCTTCCTCAGGGCTCAAGGTTAAAAAAATCAGGACAGAATGTACTAAGCGACCCGTGTTAAAGGAGAAGTCCACCTTTAAAAAAAAAAGTAAGAAATGCAAATATTTTGTGGGTAAAAAAAGTACATTCATGGGGTTTTTCTGTATTTGGAGCCTAGAGAGCGTTGCATCAGCATATAGCGGGTGCCATGTAGGACTTCTACAGACCCATCAGTGTATCTGTGTGCTCCCCAGACGAGGTTTACCTTACCAAGCTGGCCAATCACCATACAGGCTGCAGACATAACACCAACCAATCAGCAGATCACGGGTTCCATGTAGGACTTCTACAGACCCGTCAGTGTATCTGTGTGCTCCCCAGACAAGGTTTACCTTACCAAGCTGGCCAATCACCGCACAGGCTGCAGACATAACACCAACCAATCAGCAGATCACGGGTTCCATGTAGGACTTCTACAGACCCGTCAGTGTATCTGTGTGCTCCCCAGACAAGGTTTACCTTACCAAGCTGGCCAATCACCACGCAGGCTGCAGACATAACACCAACCAATCAGCAGATCACGGGTTCCATGTAGGACTTCTACAGACCCGTCAGTGTATCTGTGTGCTCCCCAGACAAGGTTTACCTTACCAAGCTGGCCAATCACCGCACAGGCTGCAGACATAACACCAACCAATCAGCAGATCACGGGTTCCATGTAGGACTTCTACAGACCCGTCAGTGTATCTGTGTGCTCCCCAGACAAGGTTTACCTTACCAAGCTGGCCAATCACCGCACAGGCTGCAGACATAACACCAACCAATCAGTAGAACGCAGCTTACATGTAGGACTCCTATCAGGGGCAGACTGAAAACTCATGGGGCCCCCGGGCAATAGGGGATCATGGGACCCCCCTGTCCTCACCCACACCCAAAAAAGCCTATGAAAAAGCCAATAAAAGGTACCAGAGGCATCTCAAGGGACCCCCTACTGACCCCGGGCCCTCAGGCAGTGCCTGAGTGCTCGAATGGTCAGTCCGCCCCTGACTCCCAAGTGTATCTGTGTGCCAACGAGGTTTACCCTACCAAGCTGGCCAATCACCGCACAGGCTGCAGACATAACACCAACCAATCAGTAGAACGCAGCTTACATGTAGGACTCCTATCAGGGGCAGACTGAAAACTCATGGGGCCCCCGGGCAATAGGGGATCATGGGACCCCCCTGTCCTCACCCACACCCAAAAAAAGCCTATGAAAAAGCCAATAAAAGGTACCAGAGGCATCTCAAGGGACCCCCTACTGACCCCGGGCCCTCAGGCAGTGCCTGAGTGCTCGAATGGTCAGTCCGCCCCTGACTCCTGCAGACCCGTCAGTGTATCTGTGTGCTCCCCAGACGAGGTTTACCCTACCAAGCTGGCCAATCACCGCACAGGCTGCAGACATAACACCAACCAATCAGTAGAACGCAGCTTACATGTAGGACTCCTATCAGGGGCAGACTGAAAACTCATGGGGCCCCCGGGCAATAGGGGATCATGGGACCCCCCTGTCCTCACCCACACCCAAAAAAAGCCTATGAAAAAGCCAATAAAAGGTACCAGAGGCATCTCAAGGGACCCCCTACTGACCCCGGGCCCTCAGGCAGTGCCTGAGTGCTCGAATGGTCAGTCCGCCCCTGACTCCTGCAGACCCGTCAGTGTATCTGTGTGCTCCCCAGACGAGGTTTACCTTACCAAGCTGGCCAATCACCGCACAGGCTGCAGACATAACACCAACCAATCAGCAGATCGCGGGTTCCATGTAGGACTTCTACAGACCCGTCAGTGTATCTGTGTGCTCCACAGACGAGGTTTACCTTACCAAGCTGGCCAATCACCGCACAGGCTGCAGACATAACACCAACCAATCAGCAGATCGCGGGTTCCATGTAGGACTTCTACAGACCCGTCAGTGTATCTGTGTGTGCTCCACAGACGAGGTTTACCTTACCAAGCTGGCCAATCACCGCACAGGCTGCATAACATCAACCAATCAGCAACGCCCCCAACATTCAATCCTGCCCTCGTCTCCTGAGTGATAGCCAAATCCACTTGAGCTCAAGGGGCAGCTCAGCTACTTTGGGCCCTGCAACAATGATTGGGCTGGGGGCAGCTGCCCCTTTTGTCCCGCATTGAAGATGGCCCTGCTGGCAGGGGAAACTTGTTACCCTAAAAACGGGTGGAACGTGTAACATATTCCCAAAGGTGGACTTATCCTTTAAGGCTTGATGAAGATGGGTGTCCCTTGGTGGCACAGACTGACAGATCTAGCGCACCTTTTGTGTTGACGCACTTTGAATGTGTTCAGCTGATTTGGTCATTAAATATGGTGAGAGATGGTAGTGTTGGGTGCAGGGGACGTACCCTCTTATTCTGGTAGTAATCGCAGAGCAGGGAGTACGGGAGGATGCAGAGTGTGGAGAAGAGGATGCCGTGTGTAATACACAGAGACAGGATGATGTACAGATTACTGGAGAGCGTGGCCAGACCCGTCCCCAGGCCAAACATCAGATAGGCGATGAAGTACAGAGTGCGGATGGTGAAATGTTCCTCCAGCTTCTCCAGGACGGCTGCAAGAAGAAGAAGAATCTGTTATCAGGATTGGTTGTAGAACATTCAATGTCAGAGAAATGAGTGATCCCCAAACCAACAAGCCACACGCGTGTGCCCAATATCAGAGACCTGTCAGGGACAACATGAATCTGTATCCGTGTTGTACACCAATTATAAAGGAATGGCAAAAAGTGTTGAGAATGACCCAGATATTCGTTTTCACAAAGTCTGCGGCTTCCATGTTTTTCGATCTTTGTGTCAGATGTTCCTCTGGTCTACTGAAGCAGAATGACGAGCATCTCATACGTGTCGGAGGCTTTTTTTGACAATGACATGAAGTTCATGCAAAGAGTCAATATTTGCAGTGTTGACCTGTCTTTCTCAAGCCCTCTGTGATTAGCCCTGGCATATTGTCAATCCACTTCTGGGCCACATCCTGACTGATGGCCGCCCATTCTTCCATCATCAATGCTTGGGGTTGGTCAGAATTGGTGAGGTTTTTTTTGTGCACCCGCCTCTTGAGGATTGACCACAAGTTCTCAATGGGATGAAGGTCTGGGGAGTTTCCTGGCCATGGACCCGAAATTTCCATGTTTTGTCCCTCAAGCTACTTAGTAATGACTTTTGCCTACTGGCAAGGTGCTCCATCGTGCTGGAAGAGGCATTGTTCCTCACCAATCTGTTCTTGGATGGTTGGGAGAAGTTACTATCGAGGGTGTTTTTGGACCATTTTTTATTCACATTCGTGTTCTCAGGCAGAATTGTGGGTGAGCCCGCTCCCTTGGCTGAGAAGCGACTCCACACATGAATGGTCTCAGGACGCTTTACTGTTGGCATGACACCGGACTGATGGAATGATGGTAGCATCCTCCTATTTTTCTCCAATCAGAAAAGGGATTCATCCAAGAAAATGACTTTCTGCAGTCCTCAGCAGCCCAGTCCCTGGACCTTTTGCAAAATTTCAGTCTGTCCTGGATGGTTTTCCTGCTAGGAAAGTGGCTTCTTTGCTGCCCTTCTTGACACCAGGCGGTCCTCCAAAAGTCTTCTCCTCACTGCATGCAGATGCCCTCAAACCTGCCTGTTGCCATTCCTGAGCGATCTCTGCACTGGTGCTGCCCCAATTCCGCAGCTGAATCCACTTTAGGAGACGGTCCTGGCGCTTGCTGGACTTTCTTGGACGCCCTGAAGCCTTCTTCACAACAATTGAACCTCTCTCCTTGAAGTTCTTGATGATCTGATAAATGATGGACTTAGGTGCAATCTTAGTAGCAGCAATATCCCGGCCTGTGAATCCCTTTTTGTGCAAAGCAATGATGACTGCCAGTGTTTCCTTGCAGGTAACCATGGTTAACAGAAGAAGAACAATGATTTCAAGCACCACCCTCCTTTTAAAGCTTCCAGTCTGTTCTTCTAACTCAATCAGCATGACAGGGTGACCTCCAGCCTTGTCCTCGTCACCACTGACACCCGTGGAGGGAATCACCGACATGATGTCAGCTGCTCCTTTTGTGGCTGAAATGCAGTGGAAATGGTTTTTTGGAATTAAGTTCATTTTCATGGCAAAGAGCGACTTTGCAATTTATTGCACTTCCTCTGATCGCTCTTCAGAACATTCTGGAGTATATGCAAAAACCGAGGCAGCAGACTTTGCGAAAATTATTATTTGTGTCATTCTCAAAACTTTTGGCCACGGCTGTAGAATTTTCAATGATTTATTTCCGGTATGCTTGTGAGAGAAATGAGTTTGATGTAATAATCTCAGGAATGGGTTCAAGCTCAACTCCCAGGTAGGATAAAACATGTCCCCCAGCAGATGTGGCTGCCATAGTCATCCCCTGGCTGGGACACGCTATACTTTATTTCCACACTAGATGTCCTCAGTCCTCCAGGTAGAATCGCATCCAGACCACTGAGGACATACAGTGAGTACGAAACCTCCCCGACACTCGCAGTGAGTGGCGATGACCTCATCACATTGACACCCGGCCCGGAGAAGAGGCTGAGAGGAGGAGGACCCCGTGGCATCATTTACTGGCCTGAGGACTTCTGAAATATAAAAACATAAAATCTGTCCTGGGGGGTTGGGCTCAGAGTATGGCGTTAATGCTGAATGTGAATGCGCCAATTTATGAATAGCAAATCTGCTCCACCAAACCACTTTACTTGTTTGTCTGTATGTTTCAGAATTCTATGTGTACATGGGAGGGGGGGAGGGGCAGCCATGTTTGCTCATTACATGCTCAGGCTCGGCTTCCTGCTCTGTAATGTTACACGGCGGTCGCACTTCTCCTTCTTACAAAGCAAGTCTAAGGAGGAGATTTACTAAAACTGGAGCAACCTGAATCTGGTGCAGCTGTGCATGGCAGCCAATCAGCTTCTACCTTCAGCTTGTTCCATGAAGCTTTGACAATAAATCCTGGAAGCTGATTGGTTTCTGTTCAGATTTGCAGCAGATTCTGGGCTCTCCAGTCTTAGTAGCTAACCCCGTCTGAGTTTCCCAACTCACTGAACACAACGCCCTCCCCGTGTGGCCGACACCTTATGTCAACAGTAGTAGTCAGCCAGTCTCTAGCGGCTAATCTACAAATGTCTATGTTTACAATAGATAGGTTGGAGGAAGCAAGTGCAAAGTGAAAGTCATATAAAAACGACTTTAAGGTCAGGTGCCTTCCGCCCATTAACAAAGTCTGATCCCCATTGTATGCAGATCATCGATGTCCCTCTAGTCTGGAGGGAGAGAAGTAGAGCCACACATGGGACGTGCTGTCCTGGAATCAACTACGGGGCCCGATGGATCCCATTATTACTGCATTGCATGATACATGAATCGCAAATATTCACCCAGAGAATTCAAAGTGGTTTGGTCCAGCAGATTTGATGTTCATAAATTGGCGTGTTCACATTCGTGTGGCAATGTTTTATCCCTTCTGTTCATCTATAATATACCACTCGGCATGGACACCTGACCATCACATCTAGATGAGCCGACTTGCATTCCATTCCAAGACCATGGCCAATAATATGGCGTTGCAACATCCATAACATCCTCCGCTTTTCTAGGAAGACTTTTCTCTAGATGTTGGAGGGTTTCTGTGGGAATTTGTGCCCATTTGTGAGGTGATGTATGATGTTGGATGAGAAGACCTGGATCTTCATCGGTGTTCCAATTCATCCCAAAGGTGTTCAGTAGGGTTTAGGTCAGGACTCTGTACAGGATACTCAAGTTCCTCCACACCAAACTGGTCAAACCATGTCTTTGAAGACTTTGACCCCTTTGTGGCTATGACATTCTCCACTCTTCTAGGAAGAATTTTCTCTAGATGTTGGAGGGTGTCTGTGGGAATTTGTGCCCATTTGTGCGGTCAGGTACTGATGTTGGATGAGAAGACCTGGATCTCCATCGGCGATCCAGTTCATCCCAAAGGTGTTCAGTAGGTTGAGGTCAGGGCTCTGTACAGAATACTCAAGTTCCTCCACACCAAACTGGTCAAACCATGTCTTTAAAGACTTTGACCCCCTTTGTGGCTATGACATCCTCCACTCTTCTGGAAAAACTTTCCACAAAAGATTTTGGAGGGTCTCTGTGGAAATTTGTGCCCATTTGTGAGGTCAGGTGCTGATGTTGGAAGAGAAGACCCGGCTCCCATATGGAGCCCCATGTTAGGCACTGTAAAAAAATACCTTTCTCTTCATCGGCATTCCAAATTGTGCCAAAGGTGTTCGGTAAGATTGATTTCCAGGCTCTGTGCAGGACACTCGAGTTGGACTCCCAATCCTAAAACCCTGGTCATTAATTTAGAGTTGGACTCCTGTTGTGGTTTTACCATCTCCACCAGTCAGGAAAGGCTTCCACAAGATGTTGGAGGGTGTCTGTGGGTATTTGTGCCCATTTGTGAGGTCAGGTACTGATGTTGGATGAGAAGACCCGGCTCAGCATCGGGGTTCCAATTCATCCCAAAGGTGTTCAGTAGGGATGAGGTCAGGGCTTCTGTGTGGAACACTTGAGCCCCTCCAGGAACTCAAACCTACAGAAGACCTTCGGGATAAGAAGACCTCATCTGAAAGATGTTTGGTAGAGTTAAAGGTAGGTACTGATGAGAAAACCTTATATCAAAGGTCTTCCAAAAGTAGGGTTGAGGTCAGGACTTTTTACAGGACACTGGAGTTCCTCCACTCCAAACTGGTCCTCCATGTCTTTAAAAACTCTGAACCCCTTTGTGGCTATGACATCCTCCACTCTTCTGGGAAGACTTTCCACAAGATTCTGGAGGGTGTCTGTGGAAATTTGCATTTGTGAGGTCAGGTCCTGATGTTGAATGAGAAGACCATCTCACCATTTGTGTGCCAATCCATCCCAAAGGTGTTCAGTAGGGTTCAGGTCAGAGATGATCTTCACCAAACAATTGTCTACAATGTATCTGTACGATGGAGTATTTCCAGGACCCTTCACTGGGGCCCAAACCCTGAAACAAGGGGTCTCCACATACTTTTTCCCATATAATGTATATTCATTCAGGACTATCTATTCAATGTATCCCCAATCAGTGAGGACAATCGAATACCCAGTCAGGTAGATGCTCACTCTAGTTGTTCTTTGGAGATTGTCCAATCAGATCCTCTCATGTGTGGCAGTACAGATACCTGAGTAGAGCGCGGCACTGAAGGCGTATATGCACATCCCCCAGCATCCCATTGTAACGCCGGCGTTGTATTTATGATATTCCTCAGAATTGTGCGGAGCCTTAGGATCTCCCTGAAAGACAACCTCGCCCATGAAGTCCGTATAGAAGAGCAACATCCCCTCAAAGGACAGCCAACCTGCAAAACAAAACAGTCGTTTTTCCTGCATCGTTTTAACGAGGAACTCCAAGCAATCTAGACAAACCTTTTCTACAATCTGTGAGGGACGAACTTTTCATATCGATAAATCTGAACATTGTTCATTAGACCGATAAATCCTCCTGATCACTTATGAAATATGAAGATATCTGACTGAGCCGGTCAACACGACTCGGAGCCGGGAGGATTTTTCAAAGGGTCTCCTGCTGATCTCATGCTTGCCACATGCAGGGCCAGGACAAGGGGTGGGCAGGAGGGGCAGCTGCCCCGGGTGCAACGAAGCAAGGGGATCAAGGAATGAATGCAGGGCGCTACACCCATTCTATGGCAGGTGCTAACAGTGGAGGAGGGGGGCACAGTTCTGGATCCTTGCCCTGGGAGCTGGACAACCCAGTCCCAATACTGGCCACCAGGGGCGGACTGACAACTTATGGGACCCCCGGGCAATAGGGGATCATGGGGCCCCTGTGTCCTTGCCCAAACTCAAAAAAGCCTATGAAAAAGGTACCAGGGGCATCTCATGGGGCCTCCTACTGACCCCGGTCCTTCGGGCAGTGCCCGAGTTTCCAAATGGTCAGTCCGCCCCTGATGGCCACATGCAGGGCCGGGACAGGGGTGGGCAGGAGGGGCAGCTGCCCCGGGTGCAACGAAGCAAGGGGATCAAGGAATGAAGGCAGGGCCTACACCCATTCTATGGCAGGTGTTAACAGTGGGGGAGGGGGGCACAGTTCTGGATCCTTGCCCTGGGAAGATGGACAACCCAGTCCCAATACTGGCCACCAGGGGCGGACTGACAACTCATGGGACCCCCGGGCAATAGGGGATCATGGGGCCCCTGTGTCCTTGCCCAAACTCAAAAAAGCCTATGAAAAAGGTACCAGGGGCATCTCATGGGGCCTCCTACTGACCCCGGGCCTTCGGGCAGTGCCCGAGTTTCCAAATGGTCAGTCCGCCCCTGATGGCCACATGCAGGGCCGGGACAAGGGGTGGGCAGGAGGGGCAGCTGCCCCGGGTGCAACGAAGCAAGGGGATCAAGGAATGAAGGCAGGGCCTACACCCATTCTATGGCAGGTGTTAACAGTGGGGGAGGGGGGCACAGTTCTGGATCCTTGCCCTGGGAAGATGGACAACCCAGTCCCAATACTGGCCACCAGGGGCGGACTGACAACTCATGGGACCCCCGGGCAATAGGGGATCATGGGGCCCCTGTGTCCTTGCCCAAACTCAAAAAAGCCTATGAAAAAGGTACCAGGGGCATCTCATGGGGCCTCCTACTGACCCCGGGCCTTCGGGCAGTGCCCGAGTTTCCAAATGGTCAGTCCGCCCCTGATGGCCACATGCAGGGCCGGGACAAGGGGTGGGCAGGAGGGGCAGCTGCCCCGGGTGCAACGAAGCAAGGGGATCAAGGAATGAAGGCAGGGCCTACACCCATTCTATGGCAGGTGTTAACAGTGGGGGAGGGGGGCACAGTTCTGGATCCTTGCCCTGGGAAGATGGACAACCCAGTCCCAATACTGGCCACCAGGGGCGGACTGACAACTCATGGGACCCCCGGGCAATAGGGGATCATGGGGCCCCTGTGTCCTTGCCCAAACTCAAAAAAGCCTATGAAAAAGGTACCAGGGGCATCTCATGGGGCCCCCTACTGACCCAGGGCCTTCGGGCAGTGCCCGAGTTTCCAAATGGTCAGTCCGCCCCTGATGGCCACATGCAGGGCCGGGAAAAGGGGTGGGCAGGAGGGGCAGCTGCCCCGGGTGCAACGAAGCAAGGGGATCAAGGAATGAATGCAGGGCGCTACACCCATTCTATGGCAGGTGTTAACAGTGGGGGAGGGGGGCACAGTTCTGGATCCTTGCCCTGGGAGATGGACACCCCAGTCCCAGTACTGACCACAAGCAACCTCAAAGAATGCCCAACTCTAAAGCCATTGTGGTTCATGGCGCTCGGCCAGAATGGTCCTAGATGGGGATCCTGAGGAACCTCAACAATAAGTTCCCCTTGAACCTTCCCAGGTAGCTCTGTCTATGTCAGACACAAGAGCTAGCAATCTGATTGACTTCTAACAAGTGATGGAGGCCGCCTTTCCCTTGGACACCACGACAGCCTTGTGAAGATTTCTGGGTCCCTGGCATGGAGAGGGAAGTCCCGGTCACGAGGCTTACAATCGACTCCTACACAGCCATGGTCCCGGAATTTACCTAGGAAATGGTTGATGCACAGATTGCGCAGGGCTTTGGGCATGTGGCAGATGGACGAGCACAGGACTTTCATGGAAAGCGTTCGATGGGAAATCTCGGTGGATCCATTCAGGTCGCTTTCGTACTTTACACCGTTCAGCAGTATGTTAGCCACCTGCACCACAAGAACTCCATATCAGCAAACAGTACAGTCAGAGACACCAAGACATCAGACCATGCACAGTCACCTCATATGTCCTCAGGTACAGCGAATCACATTTCAGGAGAACCTGTCTACAGACTATAACCCTCAAGAGTGATCAGCAGATAGCACAATGTTCTGGTACAGCCTGGACCCCGTATAATGAAGAGTGATCAGCTGACAACACAATGTTCTGGTACAGCCTGGACCCCGTATAATGAAGAGTGATCAGCTGACAACACAATGTTCTGGTACAGCCTGGACCCCGTATAATGAAGAGTGATCAGCAGATAGCACAATGTTCTGGTACAGCCCGGACCCCGTATAATGAAGAGTGATCAGCTGACAACACAATGTTCTGGTACAGCCCAGACCCCGTATAATGAAGAGTGCTCAGCAGATAGCACAATGTTCTGGTACAGCCCGGACCCCATATAATGAAGTGTGCTCAGCAGATAGCACAATGTTCTGGTACAGCCCGGACCCCATATATAATGAAGTGTGCTCAGCTGACAACACAATGTTCTGGTACAGCCTGGACCCCGTATAATGAAGAGTGATCAGCAGATAGCACAATGTTCTGGTACAGCCCGGACCCCGTATAATGAAGAGTGATCAGCTGACAACACAATGTTCTGGTACAGCCCAGACCCCGTATAATGAAGAGTGCTCAGCAGATAGCACAATGTTCTGGTACAGCCCGGACCCCATATAATGAAGTGTGCTCAGCAGATAGCACAATGTTCTGGTACAGCCCGGACCCCATATAATGAAGTGTGCTCAGCTGACAACACAATGTTCTGGTACAGCCCGGACCCCATATAATGAAGTGTGCTCAGCTGACAACACAATGTTCTGGTACAGCCCGGACCCCATATAATGAAGACTGCTCAGCAGATAGCACAATGTTCTGGTACAGCCTGTACCCCATATAATGAAGTGTGCTCAGCTGACAACACAATGTTCTGGTACAGCCCGGACCCCATATAATGAAGAATGATCAGCAGATAGCACAATGTTCTGGTACAGCCTGGACCCCGTATAATGAAGTGTGCTCAGCAGATAGCACAGTGTTCTGGTACAGCCTGGACCCCATATAATGAAGATTGCTCAGCAGATAGCACAATGTCCTGGTACAGCCTGTACCCCATATAATGAAGTGTGCTCAGCAGATAGCACAGTGTTCTGGTACAGCCCGGACCCCATATAATGAAGTGTGCTCAGCAGATAGCACAATCCTCTGGTACAGCCCAGACCCCATATAATGAAGAGTGCTCAGCAGATAGCACAATGTTCTGGTACAGCCTGGACCTCGTATAATGAAGTGTGCTCAGCAGATAGCACAGTGTTCTGGTACAGCCTGGACCCCATATAGTGAAGAGTGCTCAGCAGATAGCACAATGTTTTGGTACAGCCCAGACCCCATATGATGAAGTGTGCTTAGCAGATAGCACAGTGTTCTTTTACAGCCTGGACCCCATATAGTGAAGAGTGCTCAGCAGATAGCACAGTGTTCTGGTACAGCCCAGACCCCATATGATGGAGAGCGCTCAGCAGATAGCACAATGTTTAGGTGCAGCCTGGACCCCCTTTAAAGAAGTGTGCTCAACAGATTGCACAGTGTTCTGGTACAGCCTGGGCCCCATATACCTGGGAAGGGCCACATGTATTTGACCTCTTTTACGTACAAATGACTTGTCTTAACTTCTCACTTCTGATGGGTCTGAAGGCTGTTTTCTGCCCAAACCCCCCCCCCCCCCCCCCCCCCACATGAAGTCTGAGGGTGAGCTTGTGAAAGATTAACTCCTATGGTACGCCCATTGTGCCCCTCCCATCTCGCTTTTAGAAAATATCGGGATAGTAACCCAAGGAAGTCCATCTTTTCATTGGCCATGCAGGCCAATGGGTCCACCAGCAGCACAAACTCTTCTTTCTTCTGTAACCCCCCTGCTTCATTCAGCCAATGGAGTGATGAAAAATATCCCGTACTTCCAGGTATGGAGGATCATGTGACTCACTCCTCTTCCTCATATGTGACGTTGCTGGAGTTTGGTTGATTAGACACCCAGCATTGTCCTATGAGGGTGGAGAGTCCTCATGGCCTGGAGATTACACAGGGATTCCAATACTGACTCCAAGCAGCTGAAAGGGGCAGTGGAGGAGCAAAGGAAAGATGACCATGTGCTGCTAGGGAATAGCATTCACAGGAACCGGCCTGGGATGAACAGTGTCCCATCATTGGTGTCAGTGGGAGGAATAGTGCCCCATCATTGGTGTCAGTGGGATGAATAGTGTCCCATCATTGGTGTCAGTGGAGGAACAGTGCCCCATCATTGGTGTCAGTGGGAGGAATAGTGCCCCATCATTGGTGTCAGTGGGAGGAATAGTGCCCCATCATTGGTGTCAGTGGGAGGAATAGTGTCCCATCATTGGTGTCAGTGGGATGAACAGTGTCCCATCATTGGTGTCAGTGGAGGAACAGTGCCCCATCATTGGTGTCAGTGGGAGGAATAGTGTCCCATCATTGGTGTCAGTGGAAGGAATAGTGCCCCATCATTGGTGTCAGTGGGAGGAATAGTGCCCCATCATTGGTGTCAGTGGGAGGAATAGTGCCCCATCATTGGTGTCAGTGGGAGGAATAGTGCCCCATCGTTGGTGTCAGTGGGAGGAATAGTACCCCATCATTGGTGTCAGTGGGAGGAATAGTGCCCCATCATTGGTGTCAGTGGAAGGAATAGTGCCCCATCATTGGTGTCAGTGGAAGGAATAGTGCCTCATCATTGGTGTCAGTGGGAGGAATAGTGCCCCATCATTGGTATCAGTGGGAGGAATAGTGCCCCATCATTGGTGTCAGTGGGAAGAATAGTGCCCCATCATTGGTGTCAGTGGGAGGAATAGTTATGGAGGCGGAGACAATCTTTGGCTATTGAGCATTTACATTCCCCCTGGCAACCACTAGGAGGTTCATACCTGGTGGTGCATGCTGGGGGAGGATATAAAGGTCTGCGGAGTCGCCTGGTGAGTCCTCTTGCCTCTGGGTTGTGGCCCCGGGGAGGTGTGCAGAAGAGTTTGTGCTGAGTAGGCCAGAAGCCTGTATGGCATATCTCCCAACTGTCCCTGATTTTGAGGGGCTGTCCCTGATTTCGAGGGGCTGTCCCTGATTTGGAGCAAAGTCCCTCTGTCCCTCTTTCCTCCTCATTTTGATCTATAGAGTTGTATATAAAATGCACTTTTTATCGTTCAAAAACTGTTTCTTGAGCTAAACCTTTCATCCAATTTCTAAATTGCTGAAGTATAAAAGAATAGTCGTGGTAAAAAAAAATCACTTGTAGGTTTAACTAATCTTTTTCTGTGTGAAATTCTCCATTAAGGGGGCGTGGCAGGGGGTGGGTCCTATGCCCACATATATTTGCTAATAGGTGTCCCTTGTTCCCATCTCATGAAGTTGGGAGGTATGGTAATGGAGGCGGTGACAATCTTTGGCTATGAGCACTTAGATCCCCTCTGGCAACCACTAGGAGGTTCATGGCCAATGGTGCATGCTGGGGGAGGATATAAAGGTCTGCGGAGTGGCCTGGTGAGTCCACCTTCCTCCAGGTTGTGGCCTAGGGAGGTGTATGCAGAAGAGTTTTGTGCTGAGTAGGCCTGAAGCCTGTTTGGGTCAAGCACAAAATCCTCAAGCTGCCCTGCCTGGTTGGGGAGGGTCCAGCACTCAAGGTGGAGAGTCAAAGGACAGAAGCCCTGCTAGAGGGGGAATGGAGGATCCTGACACTCCCTTGGATGGAGGTGAAGTGTGGCAGAGTCTGGAGCCCTGTTGTGGGTGGAGACGGATACCCTAACTGAAACCCTACACTCTCTCCCTGTGAGTTGGAGCAATAAAACTTGAAAAAAAAAAGACTAAAGCGACTATCATTGTCGGGACTATCTCCACTGCGGCCATGGATCCACCCTAGGCTAAAGCTTGACCTCTCCCTGTGTTGGAGGCATGGCTTCCCTACCCCCAGACAACAGGGGAGCTACAAAGGGTAAATCTTCCTGGCAGGAACAGGAATAAACACGCAGGGGTACTAACCCGTCTCTACTGTTGGCTTTAGATACCCTTTAAGGTCGCAGTTATGTCTTTGTGATGACCCCATGAGACATGCTATGACGCTGGAGTGTGTGAAGCATTGACATCCTCTCATCTCTGTGGGCCCCCAGTATGCAGTCATTCTAAACATTTTAAATGAGGGGGTTAAACCTGACCCCGGTGGCTGCTGTGCCCCCATTCCAACACCATAAAACGTTAGTATCATCGTGTCCATGTTACCTGTTGGCTGAAGGTTACATTCCGTCTTCGGCTGCTCTCAGGACAAGTTCCCGTAATTACATCTGGAATGGCCAGGGACTGCGGCCTTTTCAGAATTCCCGATGATCTTGGCTTTGGTGCATCAAGAGACCCGACTCTTAAGCTGGTTCTATCTGTGCAAGGACTGGTCGGGTTGTCTGCGGAGTCCAGGCTACGGTTACCACCACAGTACAGATTCTCAGGTACTCGAGGAAGGCTGCTGGCCTGCCTTGGCAAACTACCGGAGGTTGTAGTGAATCCATCATGTCCCCCGGTAAAGCAGTCAATGAGAACGCTATCAATGTTGGTTGTTGCCAAACGAGGAGGCAAACTCATTAATTCCAGTTAAAGAATTGTCCCGGCTGATGAGGCTTCCATACTTTGGTGTGAGGGGGCTGAGAGGAGAGATGGGACTGGTGAAGCTTGCATACAAGTGGTTGGAGTTCTGGGAGGGTTGTTGGTGGTTTTCTTGTTCTTCAAAAAATATGGGAGGTGACGGAGGAAGGGTAAGACTGGGGCTCTTCATCACCTTCTTCTTCTTGCTGAAGGACTGAAGAGGTTTTTCTGGGATGCTGATTAAGGTCAGGACGGTCATGATGGTCAGCGTTATTGATGTGAACAGATAGATAACCCGTAACTGTCCTCCCATGGCTTTTCCAAAACTCGTCTTGTTCCAGTTAATGCCGCCAACCACATAGCCAAAGCCACCACCAAGGCCTAAAGGAGGAAACAAAAAATTGCTTTTATATAACTTTAAAGAACCCATTGACAGTTTTTGGACGTAACTCACAGAATAGGGATGGGGTGGAAGACCTCTTGTCTTTAGTATGAAAAGCTGGAGGGGGAGGGGGGAAGATGGGCACAATACTTGCCACCAAGCAGCGCATGAATGTTGAGTCCCCGATCCTGATCCCCTGGGGAGCACACGTCCATCATGTAGGCATGGCTGGGATTATCTGCAGAGTCTGCACTGAAATCCATGAGGATGACTCCACAGATGGTGAGGATGAGGCCCCATTTATGGTCGGACTGGGAATCTCCCACAGACAGGCCAATGTCTCTCCCATTCAGCAGCAGTGTAAGGCCAAATAAGGCTCCTAGAACAACAATCATGAAATGCGATCAGAAAATAATTCCCGACCTCTGAATATTCTTCTCACATTATCCACAAAACATCAAGAAGAACTTCCGACAGGCCGACCAATATCCGACCGACCATGTATGAGATCAGTGAAGGTGACAAATGATCGGAGTCCAGAAAGTTCTGTTTTTTATATGCTGAAATTTTCTATCATGTGCGGAAATATCTATGAATGATTTTCACCTTTTCTGTATAGATGGATCATGACAGGTCCTGGCACTCCAATGAAGTGTAAAGTTTGGTGGAGGGGGGATTATGGTGTGGGGGGTGTTTATCAGGGGTTGGGCTTGGCCTCCTAGTTCCAGTGAAGGTAACTCTTAAGGTGACATTTTGGACAATTTCATGCCCCCAACTTTGTGGGAGGAGTTTGGAGATGGCCCCTTCCTGTTCCAACATGACTGCCCACCAGTGCACAAAGCAAGGTCCATAAAGACATGGAGGAGCCAGTTTGGGGTGGAGGAACTTGACTGTCCTGCACAGAGTCCTGACCTCAACCCCCATAGAACACCTTTGGGATGAATTAGAGCGGAGACTGCGATCCAGGGCCTCCTCCCCCCGACATCAGTGCCTGACCTGACAAATGTGCTTCTGGAAGAATGGTCCAACCTTCCCATAGACACCCTCCTAAACCTTGTGGGCGGCCTTCCCAGAAGAGTTGAAGCTGTTATAGCTGCAAAGGGCGGGGCCAACTCAATATTGAACCCTACGGACTAAGACTGGGGGGCCATTAAAGGTCATGTGTGTGGAAAGGGCGGGGCCAACTCAATATTGAACCCTACGGACTAACTGGGGGGGCCATTAAAGGTCATGTGTGTGGAAAGGGCGGGGCCAACTCAATATTGAACCCTACGGACTAAGACTGGGGGGCCATTAAAGGTCATGTGTGTGGAAAAGGGCGGGGCCAACTCAAATATTGAACCCTACGGACTAAGACTGGGGGGCCATTAAAGGTTATGTGTGTGGAAAGGGCGGGGCCAACTCAATATTGAACCTACGGACTAAGACTGGGGGGCCATTAAAGGTTATGTGTGTG